TCCTCTTCGTCGTCGTGGAGTAATCGAGTTTTGAAAATCGGTCCAGGGGGTTGTTGTTGTTTCTCACATTAGCTCAAAAAATGGGGAGCTCGTGGTCTCATCACCCGGCACATACGACGCCGCGGGGAACCACGTAAGGGTGCTGTAATAATAGAACACCCGACAAACCGAGTTCCCCAAAATCTTCCGTCTACAACAACTTCCCAACATTAGACTACATACATACAGATAGATACCAAACTGCCTTGTTGAGCCTGTTACCCACAGGGGAGTTATTATCGTTGTATGCTGTCTGGGAAACCGTAGATATACAGGTAGCCTTTCGCTCACGCTATGGATTCATTGCTAATATATCTTAGACGTATTTCTTATAAGATAGAGATGGATTTGTTGTGTGATATTAAGAAGAAAAAAAAAAACTAGGGTACGAACCACTCGGAAAAAGAAAACAAAATGATCGAAAGAAAATAGTCTAACAGGTACCGACCGTTCGAGAAAAGAGCCTTCGGAAACCGATCAAAATAAAACAAAAACAAAACAGACGCAACAGCAAAGCGAGATCAAGGTACCCAACACAGCAGAGTAGGCAGGGAGGTCATGAAAAAAAGAAACATAGCACAGAGTGAGGCCGAAGGCAATAAAAGGACATACATCAAGGAGTATTGCATACAGCAGGGAGGGAAACAGGGCGCAACAACACCATCCGGGTACATAGTTCGCCAAAAGTGCTGCCTCGGCCGCCCTACTCGCTTCTACAGCAGTGCCCGGTCGCCGTTTCTTCCCCCCCACCGCCGCTTCGCCGGTTCTCTTTCTCTTCGGTCCGGAGATGGCCGCACTCTCTGCTTCTGCTTCCCTCGCGCGCTGGCGCTTCGCGGACGCTTCCGCCTCCTGCCTGTGCCATTTCCTCATGAACCATGCCGCCCAGTCCTCGACCTTGCTGTACCACACCTCCGAGTCCTTGGCGCTCTCTTTCCATTTACCCCCTTCCTTTTCGTCTCCCATGTTGAAGGCCACGAGGTCCTCTCCTAGACGAGACACCCAGTCGCTCTCCTGCCCGCCCCGGTATCCCACGCCCCCCGCCATCGCTCCTAACAGCATGCGCTTGGGGAGGCGGCTGTCCTCCATGCGCATAAC